CACTGGTAATTTGTATTTATTGATTTTAGCAGGGATGCAGGACAACCCTGGAATAAATCTGACCAAATATAATGAGGTTATGCCTTTAAAAAAAAGTGTATGATAAAAGCCAGTTGGGAAATAAAATAACATTTTAGATGCATTCTCTGGACAGTCTTAAAATCTTACACAATTTTGCTTGTTTTAAGGATGTTTAGAAAAACAAATCACCAAAAACCTGATTAGAATTGTTTTTGTGCATTTTTGTAAGGCACGCATTACCTAAAGAGTGAGTCTCTATGGTTGTACATGACATTTCAAATAAATGCTTCTCTTTACAGCGAGCTGATTTGGCAGTGTCTGCCATAACTATAACACCAGAGCGAGAGAACGTAGTGGACTTCAGCAAGCGCTACATGGACTACTCTGTAGGGATCCTACATCGCAAACCCGAGGAGAAGATCAACATTTTTTCTTTGTTTGCCCCTTTTGACTTGGCTGTGTGGGCCTGTATCGCAGCTGCCATTCCTGTGGTGGGCGTTCTGATCTTCTTGCTGACACGGATGCAGATGCTCCGCTCCCAGAATCCTCCAGGAGCCCATCACACTTCATCCATGTCTAACTCATTGCATAGTGCTATATGGATTGTCTATGGAGCCTTTGTACAACAAGGTACTTCAAAGAATTCCTCTCCCATGTGTCCATTCAAAGGCACCTTCAGAAACAACTTATCATCTTAGAAGTGCAGCCAGAGGATCAGGTGATGATTTGACTCAGAGCTTAGAAAAATTACAAGATTAAAGCTGCTGCCTGATGATATTGGAGTGTCAATGCATTGCTCCCTCTTAAACATGTAAGCATCTGCTAATGAAAGCATTCTTTAGGAGCTGTAAACATTTAGTGTTTGCAGATATTCAGAGAATAGTTTATCTAAAAATGCAAATCATGTATTCACCCATTCCAAACCCATGCAATACAAAAGGAGATATTTTGTAGAATTGTGTTTGTTTGTTTGTTTTTTAATCTTGAATGTGAAAGTGTGTGTGAATGTGTCCAGGTGACAGCAAAGCACCACAAAAATATAATTTAAGCAGTTTAGTCACTATCACTATCTGAGTAGTTTTAGCATGTTAATTGGTATGACAATGCTAATTTATTTGGTCTCTGGTAATTTGTATTTATTGATTTTAGCAGGGATGCAGGACAACCCTGGAATAAATCTGACCAAATATAATGAGGTTATGCCTTTAAAAAAAAGTGTATGATAAAAGCCAGTTGGGAAATAAAATAACATTTTAGATGCATTCTCTGGACAGTCTTAAAATCTTACACAATTTTGCTTGTTTTAAGGATGTTTAGAAAAACAAATCACCAAAAACCTGATTAGAATTGTTTTTGTGCATTTTTGTAAGGCACGCATTACCTAAAGAGTGAGTCTCTATGGTTGTACATGACATTTCAAATAAATGCTTCTCTTTACAGCGAGCTGATTTGGCAGTGTCTGCCATAACTATAACACCAGAGCGAGAGAACGTAGTGGACTTCAGCAAGCGCTACATGGACTACTCTGTAGGGATCCTACATCGCAAACCCGAGGAGAAGATCAACATTTTTTCTTTGTTTGCCCCTTTTGACTTGGCTGTGTGGGCCTGTATCGCAGCTGCCATTCCTGTGGTGGGCGTTCTGATCTTCTTGCTGACACGGATGCAGATGCTCCGCTCCCAGAATCCTCCAGGAGCCCATCACACTTCATCCATGTCTAACTCATTGCATAGTGCTATATGGATTGTCTACGGAGCTTTTGTACAACAAGGTACTTCAAAGAATTCCTCTCCCATGTGTCCATTCAAAGGCACCTTCAGAAACAACTTATCATCTTAGAAGTGCAGCCAGAGGATCAGGTGATGATTTGACTCAGAGCTTAGAAAAATTACAAGATTAAAGCTGCTGCCTGATGATATTGGAGTGTCAATGCATTGCTCCCTCTTAAACATGTAAGCATCTGCTAATGAAAGCATTCTTTAGGAGCTGTAAACATTTAGTGTTTGCAGATATTCAGAGAATAGTTTATCTAAAAATGCAAATCATGTATTCACCCATTCCAAACCCATGCAATACAAAAGGAGATATTTTGTAGAATTGTGTTTGTTTGTTTGTTTTTTAATCTTGAATGTGAAAGTGTGTGTGAATGTGTCCAGGTGACAGCAAAGCACCACAAAAATATAATTTAAGCAGTTTAGTCACTATCACTATCTGAGTAGTTTTAGCATGTTAATTGGTATGACAATGCTAATTTATTTGGTCTTGGTGGAATAAATCTGCTACATAAGTTGTTGTTGCTGCTACTGTTATTGCTTCAGAGCAAGTATGATGATTTGCTACTACCAAGACATACACAGAAATGCTTCAGCTGCGCAAATAAACATACCTAATATTCCTGTAGCTGATCTAGACAAGTGGAGCTGGGGGAGGTGGAGGGTTTCAGAGTACCTCTGATAGCATGCTGCAGGACTGGCTTACAGCAAACACTGAACCAGACTATTTAAATGTTAAGCAAACAAGATACAGCTGAGCCAAAACTGCTTGTACTATGTAGTATACGATGTAAATGCTAGCAGATTACATGACAAAGACCAATCTGTGCCAGTCTAGAGTTTCCTGATTGAACTTCAGGTAATTATAAAACACATTATTATAATGAAAACAACATAAGTTGTGGCTGAATCATTATTAATCAATAAATAGTATAATGAATTAAATGAAAATTATATCATCATATACTTACCCTTATGTCAATTCAACTTGTATGATTTACTTTATCCTGTGAAAGATAGAAGAAGAAATGCATAGGGTATGATGAGGCTAAAGGCACATTTGATTTTTTTTTTTCTAATCCACTAGATGGCAAAAAAACCCTCAATGTAGCACTATTCTGTTCCGGTCAGTTCTTCTTCTTCTTCTTCTTCTTCTTCTTCTTCTTCTATCTATCTATCTATCTATCTATCTATCTATTTATTTTTATTATTTTTTTACTTATATTGCTTTTATGATTTCTTTTACCACAAAATGTCTTGCTTCATCAGTGTTCATTCATTCAGAAAAAGCACATTTTCCTTAAGGTGTGCCTTTAGCCCCTATAAATTTGGAACAACATGAGGGTGAGTAAATTGGTGAACTGCCCCTTTAAGGCTTGCAAGCAGGTGTAAATAGTGTTTTATGCAGCATGTTAAATTTGTGATATACTTTTTTTTTATCAGATATGCCTACCCTTGTTTCACTTGAGTGTTAAACTGCATATACTTGAATTCCAATTTCAAAACCAGCATAAATGCATAGAGCATACAGAGAAGTGCACTAAAACAGTGTAAAGGTGCCTTTAAATAAGGCAAAGGATACGCTGGTTCTCATCCGAGAGACAAAATGGAATAAACGGCTACTTCAGAAACTAGCATGCTAAACCCCCAGCTCCCTCTATTAATGCCTGGCATGCTGCCCACCAACGTGTTTAAACCTAACAGCTAGTTGTTTCAATCTCGTATTTCTGTAGCTTGTCACCATATGAAATTGACAGTAGATTGTACAAAACACAATGAAAATTTTGCAGCAGTTAACACAGTCCGTTGTTCCACTGCTCACATATTAAACATGTGGAATTAGCTACACTGATGGCATGTTAATAATGGTGCCATTTCTGGCTTATTCTAATGACTAAGGTTAATAATGTAAAAGTGTATTTGTATTTTATAGATTATAAAAGAAAGAAAGAAAAAACTTTGGGAAAAAAACAGGGTGATTAAAAAAATATATATGTATGTTACAAGGTATAGAATAGGATTCAAAGTCCCTTCGTACACTACTTTTTTTTAGCATTTCAAAGTACATTTACATATTCTAAAGCATTTTTGTGTTATCTGTCACAGGTGGAGATTCAGTGGTGGGGTCTGTGGCATTGAGGATAGTCATGGGCAGTTGGTGGTTGTTCACATTGATTGTGTGTTCGTCTTACACTGCTAACCTGGCTGCGTGCCTAACTGTGTCCCGCATGGACAACCCTATAAGGTAAATTACCATTTCACAAATAGTCTACCACTCAATGCACCATATGGTAGAGAGTTGATCTATGTCTATTAAAAGCTTTTCTATCCCGTGTTTGTCCTCATAATTGGTGCAACCTTATGTTCAGGAAGCTTCAAACATAGTTTGGCCACACGGCAAGCAATATGCAGAAAATGTATGCAGTATTGCACAGTTTAACATAGGCTATGTGTGTAGCAAGAGAAGGCAAGCAGGCAACTTAATACATTGGGATTTTACAGAAAAACTGTGGAAAATATATTTATTTTTTTATATGATTTTTATCCATCCAATTTCTATCCATCCAAAAGTAATAAGAACCAATTATTTAAATGACATAAATTAAAAAACGAAGCAGAATATAAAGTTCCGTTTACACGCTACTAAATTCTTCAAATAAAACTCTTGGGTGTATTTCAACGGTTTAATCCTAGAAGTTTGTAGGTATGCTGTCTGAGGCTGAGAATAGGATTTCATGATGGCAAGAACTGTGCGAGTTGTAACTAGGCTTTCTGGGACATGTTCCCATTAGAGTGAAGGAAGGTGAACTAGAGAGATAAATGTATTAGTATATATGGAAAGAGGTTGAGACTATTACAGTGTGTGTGTTATTTGCTTGACATTTTTGCTTATTTTTTTTTTTTTTTTTTAGAATGAACACGCAAAACTGAAGCTGAATTTGAATGCTAGTGATCACCCTACATTTTCATATTATGGAGAACAGCAGAATTTACTTTTTGATAATAACTCACTTTGTGTTTCATGGGAAACCCCAACCCCACATAAAGATAATAATTATTTATAATAAAACTTTACTAAATGTTCATTATAATAATTACTAAAGTGTGTTCAGACCCAATATTATACATTTTGAACACATTCTGATTTATGATCCGAAGCGAGATCATACATTACTAATGTTCACTGTCATGATTCAAGAACAAGTTCTACATTGATTCAGTCGTTCATGTATTCCATATATTGTGACAATTGCATTTATATCATCAGTTTTATACACTGCGAGGCTAAACTTCACCTTATATCCGTGTTTGATGATTCAGGGATTGTTTTCTGTAGCCCTTCAGAGAAATGAGCCACGTCTGCAACATAGGTTCCTTGAGTTCAGACAGTTGGCAGAATTCATTTTCATAAAAGGCTGACAATTCGATATATATATATATATATATATGTATTGCCACATCATGAA